GGCCGGGGCCGACCCTCCCGCTGCCACTCACGGCACCGCACCGCCTCCTCCGCCGAGCGGCCGGGGGCCGGGCTCGAACCCGCGGCCACCGCGCAGGGCGGGCTCCGAGCCGCGCCGCCGCGCTCCAGATGTGGCGGGCGCTTCCCGCGTTGGCATCGTTCCGGCCGCGGCCCCGCGCAGGGCACTGCCACGGGCAGGGCGAGGAGCCGGTAAGCGATGGGGTGGGGATGCATCGGGGGGGCAGGTTTCCTCCTCCCGCAGGGGGGACTTGGTTTTGTCCATCCCTTCTCCCTCCTTTCCCTCTCAGCCGTCACTGGGGCCTCCTAGCAGTTTCCTCTGCTCCCCAGATGTTGGGCAAGAAGAGGATTGGTTGTGCAGGGGTTCAGGGCGCTAGGGGCCCGTCCTGAAATCGAGAGCATCAGGGAACATCTGTCAGTGGTTAACCCGGATGAGCGCTGGCAGGAGGTGATGGGGAAGGAGTTGGCTCGCTGCCTGACCCAGCAGGAGGGCAGGCAGGATGAATGACGGTTATATCAAGAAATGAGATGTGATGGGGGGAAAAGGGTGGCTGGTAACAGTTGTGCATGTTTGGTTTTTCCTTATAAGATACTGCGGGGTCGTGGCATCTTCTTTGTAGATAGATGAGTCACGTAGTGCATGCGTGTCAGCTAAGGCACGAGAGGAAAAAGTATCCAGATGAGAAAGAAGATCAAAAAATCATGTTATCAAGCAGTGATGGACAGCTAGCTGTGCTATGGTAGGTGCTACTTACTACACGTGGTACACACCTGTACTGTGCTAGGTATGTCCGCCCTTTGCTGGACTGCAGGATGCCCCATCCCTGGCAGTGTTCAAGACCAGGCTGGACAGGGCTTGGAGCAAGCTGCTCTATTGGAAGGGGTCCCTGCCTGTGGCAGGGGGTTGGAACTGGATGAACTTCAAGGTCCCTTCCAACCCAAACCAGTCTGCGATTCTGTGCTAGGATGTGACCTGCTTCCATTTCACAGCTATGACTTGAGCCCTAAAAGGGGTTGGATGTGCTCCTCAGTTCTCATGATTCCCCATGCTGGGTCCAGAATTCAGGCTGTGTGCAGTGTCTTCTGCATCCTTCTGGGTGCTCTCACGATGAGGTCCATGATGCACAGCAGCACTCCAGTGTGAACACAAGCTTAGGAGGAGATGCAGTTACAGAAAGGGACTTGATACAATGCAAAGTTGAAGGTAGACTAAGTACCACTGTCTGGGTCAGCAGAGCATCTAGAGCTTGGGAAGTAGGTGGTAGTTTGCCTGCAGGTTAGTGGAGTGGGCAAAATACCAAAGAGTTTCCTACCTCTGACCCATTTGGTGCCTTTTCTCATTATCTCATTGTGTCTGACTTTGTTTTTCAGAGAAACTCTGTGATTCACAAAAGCCACCATGAAAGGTGAGGAGGTTCGGCAGAGGAGAAAAGAGGGCAGGACTAGGAATGGAGAGCGATCCAGGCACAAAGCAAAGAGCAAGGGTAAACACAGAGAGAGCCGACTTGGCAGCCAGGAGGCAGAGGATGTCTCTCTGCACGCACAGCAGAAGCTGTTGGCCGAGGAGAAAGTGGTCATGTCAAAGGCACGGGAAGAGTCAGCCATCACAATTTGCCTGCAGGTGCTCCTGCCATACCTCCTGGCTGGGCTTGGCATGGTCTTGGCAGGCATGGTTTTGGATTATGTTCAGGTAAGGGAAAGACCGGAGCTACCTGGCATTGGGATAGGTGGGGGACTTCTCTTCAGAGGCAGGGGATTTGCACTGGGGATGGCAATGTAAAGGACATTTTGCAGCACTTCCACGTGCCAACATGTCCTTCAAAGTCAGCTGTTGTGTGCTTTTGTGCAGGAGGCAGCATGTGGTGGTGTTCTGGCCCTTTCTCTTTGGAGATAAAAGACAATAATGGACTAAAGAGCACGTGTTGGAAGGTGCATCCCAGTGCAAAGGTCTCACCTTGCTCCTGGGTAGAGGGTGTCTGGGCTGCAGCCCCAAGGGCTGTGGTGGTGCAGCACTTTCCCGCTGTATCACTTCTGGGTGTAGCTCTGGCTGGTCCTGCATCCCCTGCTTCATTCCGCAAGGAGCCACCCAGGCCAGCACTGTTCATGCTTCACACAGCCAGCCCGGCCCTGCTTGGGCACCACATCCTTTTCCAAGGCTTTATAGCAGACGACTCAAATCCTTGAGTCTTCTTCCAGTGTGATTTCTAATCCCGTTGCAATCAGGACCGGACCTTTCCTCCTGTGGTGCAGCAGTACAGAGCTCTAAGGTAGTGGTAGGCACCTAATCTTAGTTTAAAGCTGCAGTTAATTGCCAGGTTATAAATTGCTATCTCACTGCTGTGTGCGTTTTTGATAACTCTTGTTATTTGTCTGGCTAGCTGTTGGGTCAGGCTGCCCTGACCTATCTGATACAGTGGCACTGAGACTACTGTGCTTGCACTGACTGCTTGCACAAATCTGGAGCTGTGTTCTTCTGCTATTAGCCCTGGGCTGATCTCCCTAAGCTAGAAGAGCTATAAAGGCTTACGGGTGACACAGTATCCTTAACTGACCTTAGCATGTACACAGTACCCAACAGCATGCCTACTCAATCAGAAAACACCAAGGCAAGTCCAGAACCCAGAGACAAACTGCTTTTTGTCTCCTTAGATGCCATTCTGAGCGTCCTGAGCCTTGAGCAGCCACTTTCTTTTTTCAGCCTGTTCAGACCTGCCCATTCCTAAGGATCTTGGACATTAAACGTGTGTTACCACCTATTGTGAGATATTAAAGCACGAAATAGATTGCAGATGGGTTTATGATGTTGGAGGAGTCTGGTTTGGGTTTCTTTTTGATATCTATGAAGGACTGGACCACTAATACGAACAGAATGTGAAGCAAGCATCATACTTCTCTGAAACCACAAAAGTCTGGTTTCTGTTTTACGCAAAGAGCTCACAAACAGCTTTCATGTTAATGCTTAGAGCCTGGGAAACCAACGCATGAAGCATCTCATAGGAAAAGCAGCCCTTTGGCAGTTAGCACAGTGACTTTTCAGGCATGATCATGGACTGCTTGTGGACTCAGTGCTGTTAGGAGCTGCCCTTCCTTTCTAAGCTAGTCCTGGCCTCTGCTGCTGTTTCTGTGGGACGACAGGAGATGCTGCAAGTCTTTGGGTCCCAGGCACCCTCCATCTTGCTCTCAGTCTCTCCACATGAGCTCTCTTCTCAGCCCTTGCCTAAAGTGGGGAAGAGAAGAGCAAGGTAAGAAACAGACCCACACAAACTGAGCTGTAATGGAGCCAGCAGAGTCAGGAGTGACAGTTCTCCAACAACTGGGGCATACGGTCCCTGAACAGCATCGTCCATCGGTCTCAGGTATCAGGAGAGCCCTCTCTGTTGCTAACAGTGCCATGCTGTTAAGAGCATTCCCTGGTATCCCTTTCCCTTCTCTGCAGGGATGATAAGGTCCATCTGAAACTGTGCTCTTTGGCACTTTGTCATCTTCCTGTTCTTTTTCTGTGCTTTGGAATTGGTCAGGGCCCACCAAAGAGCCTGTTTCTGCTTTCTCCAGGGCAATGCAACCTGTTTGCTAGTTTACAAGCATGGGGACACAGCGTTCCTCCCCAGGTTTTGCCACAATGTACCACGCTGTGCAGCCATGAAGTGGTTTGTTTGTTCTTTTCCCCACTAGTTCTGATCTTTATCCCGCTGTTCAGCTGTGTTCTCCTCAAACCTGATGCATCTCTTTGCGGACAAATATGGTCTCTCTCTGTGCCAGGAAAATATGATGCATCTCTATGCTGACAAATACGGTGCGGATCTTTATCAGACGCTCTTTAAACATGCAATAAAATGACCCAGTGTACACACACACAGGTCACCTCTACCCATTACCTTCCCTGCATACTGATTCATTGATTGAAGGCTTTTTATGGTGCTTGCTTGGAAACAGAGGGAGCCGAAGCGTGATAAACTCATAAACCCTGCCTAGTACAGGATGCGTTGCTGCTGGCATGTTTCAGTGGCATTTGAGTCATTCAGGCTCATTACTGTTTCCTTTATGTTAATGTTTCTGCCTGTCAGGGATCCAGTTGGCAGATAGAGTGGCATACAGGACTAGGGATGCACAGAAAGTGTCCTTTATCTCCTTGAGGCCTCTGTGAGTTTTTAACCAGAATTAGGGCTTCATGCTGCACTTCTTAGTTCCTGGCTGGTGTAAAGAGGTTGGGTCATGTGTGGTTATTACAGGGTTTTCATTAGCCTCCCTCTTCCAGCTATTGTGGGCTTTTTTTTCCCAGTTAGATTAGCCAAAATATACTCCTTTGTTAGCTTTCAGCTTGGAGCAGACACACGTCCACACCAGCAAAGCTGGGAGTGGAGAAGGCTGCACCAGCACACCAGCCTAGGAAGCAGCAAAGGACAGATAGAGTCTCCCATTGCCCTATTTACCTGCGAGGCAAATGCATGTTCTATTTTGTCTAACCCTGCCAATGCATTCAGCTCCAAGCTGGGGACCCTGTCACAAGGACAGAGTCCACAGGCCATTAATCTTTAGGTCTCTCTGCAGAGGGTGTCAGGGAAGGGGTTGATCAGTGCAAGAAGTGTAAATAAGACAATGCAGTTTAGACGTTGGATTTGAACTGGACTGAGAAACCTGTATCTGTTGTGCCCACCGCTGAATACTTGCTTTCACCATTTGCCTTCACTGGGGCATGGCTGGGTTTGAACCTGTGGTTGGATAGGGAAAAAGCTCAGTTGACAATGTACTAAACCAACCCTATACCCTTCTATCCTAAATGGTGCTTTTAAATCACCTCGGATCCAATTAGTTTGCCCAAATTCATTATTAGAAAGGAGCCCCCACAAAAGACCCCAATTCTTTTCCTTGTGTGTGTGACTTTGAGCTTAAGTCTTCACTGACCAGGACACTTAACTCTTCAGCTGTACACAGCCATGGTGCTTGACCTTGTGTTGGCTGTTTGACCATGGAGACGCTGGGGTGAGACCCCCTCGCTTAAAGGCAGTACCGTGCAGCAGCAGCGTGTTTCCCTTTAGGACAGGAAGGGAGCCCAGTTCACAGCATGCCGTGGAAACATTCACCCTTTCTCTCCCTTGCCTGCTGTGCAGTGAGATTACAGAGCTACCTTAAATAAGCTCCAGCCATGAATCTTATCTTGGCCGTTGCAAACTAGCAGAAAGTTGAAGTGATGACAGCAGATAAGGGTGTTCGCTTTTCAACCTTATTGGTTGGTTCTCTGGCTTATTTTCCCCCCTCCCCTGAAAGCCAGTCATTCAGAGGTAAGGCTGTCATTCCACTCCCATGGAAACCATGGAAGGGACAACAAGGACCAGGTTCTAGAAGAGCAGATCTCTCACCACCCGGCTTAGCTGTGTCACTGGCCAGGGCTCCAGACCTGCGTAAGGTTGTCAGCTGCGAGGAACGTGAACTCATGTTGTCTTTGACCTTTCTTCACCTTGAAGGAGAGCAAAACGGATCCTGGTTGTTAACTCCCCACCTCCTCGGCCTTGGGACAGTGAGAAAAGTTCAGTGTTGCTTCTGGTGGGAGTGAGGGAGCCGGGGCTGGTTCGCAGCAGGCTTACACATTAAACCATCGTAGCAAAGGCGAGCTGCGGGCTGACAAGAAGTGTAACCTGAGCAGAAAGGACACTAGTGCGTTTGAGCACGCTGAGGGATTCTGGCATGACCTGTCTGTCACTCTTTCAGTGCTGTAGCCTGAGCAGGTCTTACTGGTTTTTACCGAGGTGGTGGGAGCTGGATGGGGTGTGGGCTCGTTTCTATTCGTTCACAGACGTCTCCGCAATCTTCTTTTCTCCTTTTTAATTCCCCCCGGATATAAATCAGAGAGATTGGGTCCGTCCCGTTTGCTGTCACCTGGGCTCAACCCAGCTGAATCCATTTTGGAGGATACCCTTGCTGCAGCCCTCTGGACGTGCTCCTCGGAGGAGAAGAAGCTAAAGCAATTTGGCATCGTTGCTGTAGTCAGAAGCGAAGAGACCTACCAGGAGGATCTGTGGGATGTCCTGATCTCCCCCCATTTGCCCTGCTGAGCATAGGGTAACAGTATTTGACCATGGTGATCACCCAGTTACAATTGGAACTGTGCTTCCATGGTGAGAAGCTGAGAGGTTTCACCTGCAAGTGGATCAGGTCAGCCAGTGGATTTCTCCCAGAGACTTCATTCTCCATTGCCTCCCAGGTTTTCATGCCGTTCCTTCTGGCTGGCTTGGGCATGGTAGCTACTGGCATCTTGATGGATATTTTTCAAGTAGGTACATGTGGTTAGACTGCTTTGTAGTGAGAGGGTGGGCTAATTCACTGACCTTGAGTATCTGTATGGGTTTGTTTTGAGTATGTGTGGTCCTATCACCAGTCAGCAGGAGGGCTCTAGACTTTTCCTGTGCTAGAGAGACACTGTCCATCTCCTTTACATCGGTACATGGGCTCCTTTTAAAGTGGGACAGTGGCTTTCAGACCCTTGTAGTGCTGGACTGGGTGTTCCCTTTACTGTATCTGGCTGAACACTTGGGTGATGACTGCTATGAAGCAACTGGGACCAGACTGCAGCATATTCCCCTATTGCATGGTATTATTTCTTTCCTTCAGAAAATGCTGATAAGGAGATCTGGGTCAGGGCTGTTATTGACTACCTGTCTTACTGAGAGGCAAGTTTATGCTTCTGGTTCTTTGCAAGCAACCTAATGTAATCTTTGGTCTAGAAGGCATTTAGATCCTGTGCTAAGAGGCATGCCAGCAGAAAAACATTACCATTGCCTCCCAGCTGAGTGCTCCCTGGCCAGATTCTGAGGCGGGTGTAAGTATGGAATATGGAAGGGTACTTGTACACTTCCATTGACTTCCAAGCAGTGCTGCTGGATTTACACCGTTGTGCCCACAACCAGAATCTGTCCCGTCAAGTGGCACAAATAGAAATGCAAAATTTGAGCTAGTTTGGGCATCTCATGCCAGCGGATTTACAAATCAAAAGGCTGGCAGAGCTTCCCAAGGATATATTGTGCGCTCTGATCTCACTGGAGTACATTGGCTTCTCTGGCATTAGTACCACAGCAGGAGCTAAATATGGATACTTGAGTGTTTGGAAAGACAATACCTTGCTGTTTTTTTCTTGCATTGGAAGAAACAAAGGAAGCAGAGAAGGTGAATGAAGGGGAATATGAGGACTATAAAGAAGGGTTAACCGGAGTGGCACACGCTGTGTTTGTCGTCTCCACCTTGCTCTGTGTTTAGGCAAAGACCTGTCTTGCAGCATTACAGAGGTTCTCAGACTACCCAAGATGTTGTGCTAACAGTGAGCAGTTATCTCAGAGAAGGATACACACATAGGACATACGCAAACCTTGGCAGGTGAATAGGGCTTTGTCTAAAAGAAATCGGATGCGCTTGCCAAAAACTGGGCTCTGTGACTGTATCTGAACTGATGGAAAACACGAGCTGTGTGTACCTACGTTGCATGTGTCCTTTAAATACCAGAGAGCAGTCTACTTTGTGTATTTCTTCACTAGACTCTTAAAAATGGGGTCATGCACGAAGCACAATCATAGGAAGTGTGTATTTTGGTGACTGTATTTCCAGCTATACTGAAATAGAAACCATCAGTCAGTGAGTTCAGCTCCCAGAGGAGGGAGTTAGTGCATTGAGAGTCCCAACTGGCATAGGAGAGATGTTAGCGAGGGAAGCTGCCATGGTGTCAAACAACCCCATATTTAAAACCAGTCCCATAGCTGGGAATACCCATGGGTATTGGCCTTTAAAGGCTTGAATTATTTTTCTGTGCCTTTTTGCCTTTGAGCTGCCTGCTTTCAGCTTTTCTTCCTGTGAGAGCCAGAAACTCACTGTTCTGCCCAACTAAAACCTGAGACTTAAGTTTGTTTGCTTGAGGCTGGGTACCATAAGGCTCATGTTGATAATCGTGAGGGTTCATGTGCTGAAACTACAGGTTATTCTAGTCCAGAAGTCTGGGATTTGCCCATTTTCCAGGGGATGGTCTGGCTGAGGAATGCTTTCCTTATTTGCAATCACTGCAAAACATTCTTAGGAGGCTCCATGTCTGCCTTTGGCAGGGAGATATATGGGCAAGCTCAGGATGGCATCTAGAGCTTATGTGTGAGTTTAATGGTGCTGCCCCTGTTTTGTTACATACCAGATATCTTGAAATAACACAGTTCTGTGCTGGAAGTACAAGGCTGATGTTGTAAAGTGAAGAGCAAAGTGGAAATTGTCTGCGTCCTATCAAACTACCAGGGTTTTAGCAGTTCCTAAGCAGTCCTGGAATGAAACCAAGAATCATTCCTCTTAGTGTGTAAAAACACCCCAACCAAAATCACAAGAGAGATTTGTGTGGCCCAGCTGACTCCAAGGTTCAAACCTTGGTGTCTCCTACTGTGATAAAAGGATGCCCAAAGATATAGCCATTTGCCATTGTCTCTCTGGTTGTGCAGAGGATGCAGTCTCTGCAGGGCTGGTAGCATGGCATGGGTCTGGATGTTTCCGCTTCTGCTCCAGTGATCCTTGGCCAGCTGGTCCATCCGGATTCCAGGCTGGCTGGCGTTGTTGGAGACCTCGCAGAGCTCTGCCAGTGTTTGGCCCAGTCTTTTACAGTAAGGTGAAGAATCAGATTGAAGCTGGACGATCAGATTTCAACCCAGAGGATTCAGGAGGAAAGCTTCCCTCTCATTCTCCTCTTCCACATAGTTCACATTTGGGACATGGTCCAAATAAAAGTCACAGATAGAAGATATCCCTGCCCTTTGATAAAAGCCCATGGGATGATTAGCATTGAAAAGCATTTTGAATTGCTTGTTTTCTAGTCCAGGATCTTGTGATCTTTATGTTGTTCAGGGCAATGGAAAACCTGTGAGCTTTCTTAGCTGCTGGCATGGATGGATGGATGCACTGGAGAGGTAACAGGACATTGTTGGGACTGTGAGGGCAGTGTAAAGAGGGACAGCAGGGCTAGACTGCAGCTGGAGAGCCTGTCCCAGTGCATCACAGCCTCTCTTCCTCTGTGGGACCCCATGAGCAGATCCATCTTGCATGGGTACCAACTACAGTGGGTTATGGGGTAACCAGGTTTCTTCAGTTTCTTTAGCCCATTATGGGGACATGAAGTGGGAAAGGTTTTCACTGTCCCTGTGTGGGTTTGCAATGCTGCAGGGAATGTTTCCGTGCCTCCTAGGCCAGTTTTCATCTCAAAGGACAGAGATGCAGCCTAGGCTTAACCCAACTGTCATCACTGAGGCAGATGCACAGCTCTGACCTGCCTCATTCACCTGCTCCTCCATCTGACAGTGCTGCAAAGGGATGGCACAGGAATCATCTGTTTATCCTGTACTTCTGCAGTCTCTAACACAGTGGAGTCCTGGCTACTGGGGTATAAATCATTATGAATCTGTCCTTAGGCTCTTGATGAGTCACTGATGAGACTCAAATGGAGGCACTTAACTCAGCTGTTTTTATTAGTACAGTTGTGTGATTCTGTATTAGTCATTCAAAGCTTTTCAGTGTAATTACATGTAAGGCAGAGTCCCCCAGAAACACACCTCATAAGCTGAAACTTCTGTTATGATGGCTTTGAGACCTGCTGAATTCATCTTGAACACAAGGATTGGAGCTGACATTGATACAACCGAGTCCTATTTCCCAAAGGCAACAGATAATACAAGCAGTTGAGTTTTTCTGTTGCTTTTTATTTGTGCATCTTTTTATGTGCAAAATGCAAGGTTTTAAATAGAAATATCTGCACATGTGCCTGTTTGAAATGATTCTGTGACTATGAAGTCTGGTCTTAATCCTCTCTTTCCCAGGTGTCAAAGATGTATTTGGATCTTTACTCTTAATTAAGGAGGGAGGAGAGGGGGGATCTGGATCTCTAAAGGAGATGCCTGCCCCTAGCTTTTCCCAGGTATTTAAGTGTCTGTTATTTACTCAACACTACCTTCCCTTTAACACTTGAAACCTGCCTGTTTCCAGGTCGCTACTACCAGGAAATGTGCCTTTTTCTATTGATAACCATGTTTTGCCCCGTATCTGCATCTCTGAGGGGTGTCTTGTACCACGCACCTGGGGCTCAGCCCCACTTTCATTCCTCCTGACTCTGGAGGAAGCTGTGAGGTTCCCTGCCGCACCATGAACTTCCCACAGCTTCCCATGGCACAGCCAGAGCAAAACAGGGGCCTGTTGCACTCTGCTTGTGTTTCCCAACAGCTGAACGTGTTGACATTTAGACTGCCCACCCCCCTGGATTTTTAAGGTTATAGAATCCCAATGCATGTGGAGAAGGTGGGCAGGGATCTGGCATTCATTTTCCCACCAGGATTTCCAACCATCAGATGATAGTAGCCAGTGACAGAATGAATGAACACCTTGATCCTTCCCGTATCCTGCAGCTAAACCATGGAAGTGTTTGCCCCAGGAGGGCACGGGGGTTGGAGGGGGGAGATTGGAATTGTACCTGAAAGAGACATCCTTTGAACAGTGGTAAGTGGGCAGAAAACCCCACTGGCTCAGTAGAGAATGATCCGGTCTACTTGTCATACATGTGGATTCTTGCTTTATACACCTGAATTTAACTGCTGGTGGAGATAAGGATAGGTTGGATGTATCTCTGGTCTGGCTATGAGACCTGCTCCTTTCTTCTTGTATTCTGCTCTTCGATGCCGGGCTAGTTGGTTTTACTGTGATTTCACCCTGATGTGAACTTCTCTGGCTACAGTGGGACATGAATGCATAAGGGGTGAATAAATAATGTTCCAAGGCACTATATGGTAGATCAATGAGGGAGGACGTGTGTTAATCAACGTTGTTTCTTTAAGGTTTCAGATCATTTCTAGGGCTGCAGCTGGTTCCACAGCTTTGTGCAGCTCGGCTTCAGAGGAGCGATGATAATGAAGATATTTTCCCAGCACGTCAAGCTTATGGGATATCTTAATTCAAAATCCTTTTTCCAGCTGTGCTGGGAGCGTGCTCGGTAACAGGAAGATTTGGAAACTGCGTGTGGAGAAGAGATGGGAGAAATCCCCTTCCCTCCCGCTACCCCTCATAGCTGCTTAGTTAGAAGTTTGGTAAGAAAAGACAGACGCAATTTCTTGTTGTTAGATGGTTTCCAGATCTTTGTGTTTATGGGTCTGGATAGCAATAGGTGTTCCTGTATCTACTGTCTGTCCAAAGGATGGAGAACATGCTGTATTTCGTGTCTAATGCCTTTTTGTGGTGTTCTTGGTTGATGCTAAAGGTACATTTTAATGTGGGGCTTTCCAAAATGATCTGCTGCCTTCAGGAAGCAAGCTCCTGCCATTAGGATGGGGCTTTGCTGTGCAAGAGATCGGAAAGACTATTGCAAGCTAAGAATTCCTTCCTTCACTCCCCAAATGCAGCATCTGCCCCGTGTGCACAGCAGACACTGGTAGAGGAGGTGGTGAGATAGGAACCCGCTCCCCTTTGAAGCAGCAGCACTGGACTGGTCAGCATCACAAACTGAGGTCAATCCCTTCTTTTCTTCCAGCACTGGGCTGTATTTCAGACAATTACAGAACTTTTTATCCTGGTTCCTGCCTTGCTTGGCCTGAAGGGTAACCTTGAGATGACGCTGGCATCCAGGCTCTCTACTGCTGTGAGTGTTAACAGGGTGATGGTGGTGTGTGTGGTGGGGGGGATTAGCAGGGGACATGGGGGGATGCTGCTTCTCTATGTGTTCTCTATGAGCACACTGTGTGGATGAGATGTGCCCTTTTCTGCTAGGCAGAAACCTGTGGGGTGTGAGGGTTAAAATAATGTGTGTGCCCTCATTTTGGAAGTGGAACAGAGAATTCCCATCTGTGCTCTGAAGGTGAATTCATCCCTGGGGCCCTGTGACACACGAAAGAGACAAAGCAAGGGCTCCATTACTGTCAGCTCCAGTACTGGATTGCTTCTCTGTGGGTATTGAGCCTTGAGAGACCCAGGGCTTCCCAGCATTCCTGCCTTGGGGGATCAGAACAAGGCTTCTTGGGACCTGCAGTAGCTTTTGCTACTCTGGATTTGATCTCTCTTCTCTTCCATAGCGGTTTTGTTGACTTTGGGGTGTTTGTATTGCATGTCTTGGGAGAAATGGGAGCTTAACAGAGCAATTCAGTGGGAATGGAAGAGGGAAAATGGTTTAATTTGTTCAGTTTTTGGCCTGTGTGGGATGTGGTGGATGTGCCCACTCGTAGCTGGGTGCCCTGCAGTGCCTCTGCACCTCCATGCGAGCCTCTGATGCCCCCAGGACACTGGGCTGGAGCATGATGGAGATGTGTCAAGAAGGACGTGCTGGGAAATGCTGGCCTGCACTCACCTATCTGGCTTTAGCAGCCCCTTTCCCACAGGGATAGGGGGAAACAGCCTTCAGCAGAGACCTGACCACAGGAACAGGTTTTCAGTGACTCTCTTGGCTCCTAGGCTAACACCGGACAAATGGATGATGCTGATAACAAATGGAAAATGGCCACCTGCAATCTAGCCCTTATCCAGGTGAGTCCTTTCAGGCTCTTTCCTCTTGCTACACTGCAGCCCAACAGCTGGATCCAGAGCTGTTTGGGGCAGGTATCCTCAACGGAGCCAAGCAGAGCCTAGGACCTGACCTCAAAGCTTGCAGTTTAGCTGCAAAACACATCCAGAAAGCCACAGAAATTCACTTTGTGGACAAAGTGAAATGGTGAAAAGCCCTCCTTTTGCAGGGGCAGCTGTGGCACAATCCCTGTTTCACAACAGCCCCTAGATAAAGCCTGTCATTTACTGGCAGTGTTTGGGAATCAGCCTTGAGGGCGGGGGGAAGAGATTGGAGAAGTGTGCCTCTTGCAGCTCTTTCTGTGTGTTAAACCCCAGCAACCAGCCTGGAGGTTACAGGGCTTGCAACACGTGTCTGTGTGCTTTGCCTTATCTCCTTCCACAGCTTTCAGCTTGCTTGGAGTGCTCTGTTGATGGGGAGCCCATTTCTGCTTTGACCAGGGCTATTCCTTTGCTGATGGCCTCAGTGTCCTTTGCTGAAGTGTTATCTGCCCTTCACAGGCATCCAGAGCTTTCCTCCAAACTTTTGTCAGGATTTTAGTTTTCATCTAGTGGAGCCTTGCAGGGATGCTGCTACATACAGAAGCAATCAGCATCTCTGCAAGGCTTTGTCTGCCTTGCTCTGTGGCAACAATGAGCCAGGACTGCCTGGGAGCAGATCACAGAACCCCAGCCTGGTTTGGGTTGGAAGGAACCTTAAAGCTCCTCCAGCTCCAACCCCTGCCACAGGCAGGGACCCCTTCCACTAGAGCAGCTTGCTCCAAGCCCCTGTGTCCAACCTGGCCTTAAACACTGCCAGGGATGGGGCAGCCACAGCTTCTCTGGGCACCCTGTGCCAGCGCCTCAGCACCCTCACAGGGAAGAGCTTCTGCCTAAGAGCTCATCTCAGCCTCCCCTCTGGCAGGTTAAAGCCATTCCTCTTGTCCTGTCCCTGCAGGCCCTTGTAAGATGCAGATGGTTCCTTACCAGCTGTCTTTTGGTCTCCAGCTCCAGGCCACTGTGGTGGGACTTCTGGCTGCTGTTGCTGCTGTGATCCTGGGAGCCATCTCCAAGGGCTCTCTGGATGTGAGCCAGGCTGCTGTGCTGTGTGCCAGCAGTGTCATCACGGCCTTCATAGCTGCACTTTGTCTTGGTGAGTCCTTCTGGTTGCTCAGATCACTCTGGTATTGCTGTCCCCTCTGCCAGGGATGCACAGCTGACATCCCTTTGTTCCAGCACAGGGAGGAGGGATGCTGGGATCACTGGTCCTAGGTCCGCTGCTTTCACCCCCTCAGCATCCTGCCTTTGTTTGTCTTCTTATTGGTCTCTCGGCATCCACAGCAGCAATCAGAATATCCCACTTCACCTGACACACACAGAAATGCCACATACAATGTGTGGGTGCACATACACATGCACACACTTCCTCTGTATGTCTTGGGTGACACGTTAGCCATCTGTCCCTTTGTGGCGAGAGTGAGCTAATGATATGCAGAAAGCAGAGTATTGAGAGTCTTTTAGACAGCTCCAGAGAGATGGAGATGGGTCACCCATCTTGAGATGGCCTTGGGTCACCCAGTGCCATGCAGAGGACTGTGACCAGCCCTGTGGCTTATCTGATATGATCTCCGGACCATCCATTCCTCTGGCTATTCCCCTTGGAAGCGGATGGGGTGGCTGGTTGGGAGCTGCTCTGTCTCCTGAGGAAGATCAGTTTGTAGGTCTGCCATACGAGGGCAGCATGATACCTTGAATAGAGGGAGCTGGGAGAGACGGCTACAGCCAAGTCTGAATGACGGGGACAAGTTAGAGCAAGTGCATATCCTGAAGCTGGAGTCAAAGGGCGATTGTAGATGCCTTTGATGAAAAACATGGGATGAGGCTGTTGTGAAAAAACAGCAGCTCAGCTTTCATTAAACCCTTCCCTTCGGTCTCCCTGCTTGGTGCGATGCACAGAGGCTTTGCTGCCGCATCAGCCCAGCCTTTCAGCCAGCGTTGGTTGCTTCCCTGGGTGCGTGTGTGCATGATGGGAAGCTGTTGTTTTTATGGCCAAGGAGGGAAGCAGCGTGAACTGTGCTACGGGAAGGCTTCTGTGGATAATACCATGTTGTGTGAGGATGTGCTTCTGTGTGGGACTGTTGTAGCAGGAGGGTGCCTAAGTGGCATTCGTTATGGGAGAGCTGGTGCTCCTGTGCATGCTCAGCTTTGGTGTGCCCGTGAGAAGGCAGCACAGGAGGGTGTGAGCTGGAGGAACCACCACCTATGATTCCATGATTCTGTTTCTCAGGCTGCCTTTGGTGCATCCTGCCAGGCACAAAAAGGACACCGAGGAGTTGTCACGTGTCTCATTTCCAGGCTGCCCTTCCCAGTCACACAGCAGTGGGGAATGGCCAGGAAGGGTTTATTCCAGGTGGCTGCCTGAGGAATTCCCACAGGTTCATCAGGGTTTGGGGTTTGTGCTCCTTAACTTACCTGGGCAAGCAAAGCTTCCCTCCGCTCCAACAGAGCAGTGGAGTTTTCCAGGTGCAGCTCAGGACAGGGAAAAAGAAGTGATGGGACACCTCCATCAGCCCTTGACTCTGGAGCTGCTCAGAGGACAGCGAAAAAGAAGTGATGTGGGACACCTCCATAAGCTCTTGACTCTGGAGCTGCTCATAGCATCAACAACCACCCAATGCAAATTAAAGCAGCCCCAAAGACATGAGTCTGGGTCTGATGGCTGGGCTGTAAGGCCGAGTCAAGCAACTCTAAGGGAGATCATTGCTCCTTGGTGGTTCAAACTGAGAGAAACTTTGGTCTAATATGGAGAACATCCTTATGCTGTGGAATCCAGAGCAGGGGATGGCACTGGAGGGTTCTGCGTGCTTGCTGTGTGCTTATCTATGAGTGTGCTTCGTGCCTGCTCCTGCTTCAAGACAGCAAAGATTAAGCTGCTCAGGAGGGGAGCGTCTCCATTTGGGCTGCCTGCTGGCATCTCCTTTGATCCCTGGAATTTGCTTGCGTGCCCCTGGGCCGCTGAGGCAGAGCCATGCTCTGCAGGTTGGCGAAAGCAGGAGGACGAGTTCTTGGGGATGTTCAGTCTCCTGCTGTGTGGTACCGCTATGGGCAATGTGCTGCTTGCTTTCCCCACACCCTGCATCCTTCTGGGAAGCAGAAGAGCAGCTCTGGGGTGAAACGCAGTGGGATGTGTTCTCTGATGCCTGCTCTGTGTCTTCCCTAGGTCTGTTGATGATTGGTGTGATCATTGGAGCCAGGAAAGCTGGGATCAATCCAGACAATGTCGCCACACCCATTGCAGCAAGCCTTGGAGACTTTATAACCCTTTCCCTGCTGGCGGCATTCAGCAGTGGGCTCTTCAAATACATAGGTACAGTGTTTAGCAGCAGTTTGCAGCTTAAGGGAGGGGTGAATCCATGTGAAATTACCACAGGGCATTTCTGGGATGTTTCAGGATGGAGGCTGCCACTGGGGTAGAAAAATGTCCACAGATGCTTTTCCAGGCTCTCTTTTAGGAGCAGGTGGGAAGGCAGAGCCTAAGAAACACAACTGGGATGTGTCAAAGAAACGGCCAACATATATCACATAGCTTTGGAACAGAAGGTTGTCCTCTGCTCCTGCATCTCTTGCTAGCCAGGCTGTGCATGGGTAACAGCAGGACCTTCCTCACAACGCAATGTCAAGGGGTTGGCATTTGTCTTCTTGTGTCTTCTCATGTGGAGAGTCATGGATGACATGATGTGATCAAACTGGAGGGAGGAGGCAGTGCTGCGTTGGTTTATGCTCACAGGATGCCGAGTTGTGGCTGTGTGGTTAGCTCTGCTGCTGGTTGGCAAAGACTTAGGTACCCATTGACACCGAAAAGCTCAAAGCATCTTGCAGCTTGGTGGTGTGTGCCTGACTGCTGCTTGTAGAGCGCTGAGCTATTCACTGTGAGCCTAACCTAGAACAGAAACAGGAAACTAAGAAGATGCAGCAAACTCAATCCCGTTTGAAACCCAAACTGTTGCTTCAGCCTATGAGCAGAAGCAGCCAGGCAGCTGGTCCCTGTGTAACTCCTTCCATATGCCAGCAAGGGAGCAGGGAGAGGCCCATGAGTCTCTTCCATCCTCCTGGAGCTTCAGAGGTGCATTGGAACAGGCTTTTTCCATGATGCCATCACCCCTGTGTCGGTAACGCTGGGTTGTCTTTCAATCACTGTTCCTCTGATAGCATCTCCCAGGAAGCATATGGCAGAACAAGGTGATAACATCTACGGTTGTGATCAGAGAACATTCGTGATGTTTTCAGAGTAGTTTAAATAGCCTCATGGGCTGGAAAATATTCAGCACGTAGACACCACGTCATTGGGAGCATGAAGTGAAGCAGGTAGGAGGAAGGCACTGTTGGTGGTGCTTGAATAAATCCAGTTCCCTCCCCAGTGTGCAGTAAGGGACAGGTCATGCTGTGACAAATCTGGGTCCTATGAAAATATGCCCTTCAGAAATCCCAGTGAGTCTGTAAAGTTTGGAATGCTGTGTGTCCAGATGCAGCATCCTATGGAATACCCTTTTTCCCAACGAGGATTTTCAGGTTTTCAAAGGCCAACCCTGGTCCTCCCCAGTCCTGCTTAATGGAAATGCAAACTGTGCCGAAGGGTTTCGGTTTGCTCATGGGCTGTGCATGAGAGAATGTGGCAGAACTGGAAAGTGGAGACTGACGTCCATTCATCCTCCCAGGAGTCTTCCTGTGGGCTCTGATAAGGTTTGATCCTCCAGTGCTGCGTGTCTGCGTTATTTAGGAAGGAATTAATTGCCCGAAACAAGGTGTGGGGTAGGAGATCGAGTGCAGCAGCTAAGTCTATCATACAACCATCTGTTCTAGTTTAGTCCAGGTGGTAAAGTTGCACTGACACAACAGCAGCTTTTACACCCCAGAAGTGGCCGCATTTCAGTGCCCCTTAAGCCACAAGCCAAGAGCACACCTCTGTGTAAGAGCCTTTGATTGATGCAAGGTGTCATCACATCAGTGCTATCCCAGCCCAAGGCCCTGGCAGTGTCATGGATGAATGCACGCTCTGGACCCTGCTGTACCTTCCAGGTTACCTGCAAAGTCTTATGTTACACCCCACTGCCTCTGGCCCCAGCACAGAGACCAGATGGAGAGCTTGCTGAAAGATGGATTTTTATATCAAAAGGGTTGGCATCATCCCCATTGCTCGCAGGTGTTTCTCGTGCTTCTGGGTCATGTTTGTTTGCTTTTAGTGCTGCACATCTACTTATGAATTCCTTTGTTTCTAAGGGTCACGTCAAGGTTGTGCCCCCACTGAAGAAAAGGCACCTCATGGAAACACAAGCTAGGACAGAAGAAAGCCTGGATCTTAACTGGCTTCTACGTGCAAGAGAGCATTAGTTCCTATAGAGCAGACCAGCTGCTCAGCAATTCTGCTAGCTTGCCACCAAAAGCACCTATTACCCCTCGTTTTAGGTGAAGGTGTGAGGTGTCCATGGTGTGATACAGCTTCCACACTGGAGTTTCCCCCTTGCCCTGCTGTTTGATTTGTACCTTGAAGCCAGGCGTTTTGTAACTTCTTGGCTGGAAATAGAATTGGAGACTTGTAATCTTCAAATACAATTCGCTTTGAATCCTGCTGCTTTTCAAACAACATCCTTCAGCAGTGAGGTTCAGGGCTTCATTATGGATCTCTGTGGTGGAGGGAGGTGGTCTGGGGGGAATATCTTGGTTCATGTGATTTTGATGCTAACATAACTCAGTCTGACTTCCTTCCACACCTTGTGCAGCAGGACTTGGGCAACCTGTGAAGCTTTTAATGGGTATCTGATCCAAGCTGTCTTTCTTACCAGATATTAAATGCCTTTCTCCTCTGATCTGTACTTTCTTCATCGTCATGATCCCTCTCTGGGTTTCTGTCGCCAAGCAAAGTCCTTCCGTTGCCGAAGTCCTGAAGTCTGGATGGCTGCCGGTCATTGTTGCTATGATCATTAGCAGGTAACCCGAGGAGCTGCTCCTGAGCTCTGTGCACACAGCAGAGACCCTGTGCTCCTTTAGAAAGCCATCAAAGTGAAACTGGAAGGGGTAGCACAAGGGTATTTGTGAAGGGGGCCTCAGCCATGGACAGCATCCAACAGGCTGTGAGGTAGATAGGGAGTCCCCACGTGACTGGAAAAAGCAAGTTGTCATTCTCAGTCTCACTCACACATCCATGCACGGTGTGGGTGCAAGCCAGGAATTCGAAAAGGGGAGATGGTGACTGTCACAAACGGACTTCCACCTCATTTCTGTCCAGCTGTAATGACAGAAGGCTGGTGAATGTGGAGCCAGGTAGTTCATGCCCCTGTGCTACATCTTTCAGACCCAGCTGAGGTCTGGGAGAGAATGGAAAGAAAGTGGTAAGAGCAGGATAGACGTGTAGCAAAACTGGTGGAAGGATGCTAAAGCTTCCCTGGCTACTGTCAGTTTTGCTCAAGGGATGAGCCAAGGTCTTCCTGATCTCAATGTGCCATTAACAAAAGCTGTAAGGCTATTTATTGGTGAAAAGTGAGCTGTAAAGGAGTAAATGGTGACTAGTCCAGCCCTGGCAACAGGAAAGAAGCAATAACTCATCTCAGTGTTCTATTTTCACAGCGTAGCAATTGCACTGGGATGGGGGATTGATCCATCCTCACTGCCTGTCCTTTTTTGACAGCATTGGTGGGCTTATCTTGGACAAAACTGTAACTGACCCACACTTTGAAGGCATGGCAGTTTTCACACCCGTGATTAATGGTATGTTGGGCAGGGGGGGTTATATGCATGCTTTCATTTATACCTTCCCCTCCTCCCCAAGGCTTCTGTTATCCACTCTTGCCCCAGCACAAAGGTCTGTGTTCAAATCCCTGCTCCCATCACAGTGGAACTGAAGCTGCTCATCCCCCTTACATCCCTACTTATTGATATCTCCAAGTGTCTCTGGAGCAAAATAGCAGGCAGGGCTGAAAAATACTGGCAGAGCTGTGGGAAAGGTTAACAGCATCTGATAGTTGTGTCTGAGAGCTACGCTGACACCTTTCATAACATCAAACCTACCAAGGATGTCACAATAAATCCATTTTCCCCATCTCTCTCCCCTCAGTAATTTGAGTTGTGCAATCATCCCCTATACAGATTGTTGACAAAGACTAACATATCAAGATCATATATGTGTATATATTATAAAGATTTTTATATATGGATTATATATATACATATATCAGCATCTTTTGTGTGTATATTTATATATTTGAAGCCTCACAGTACTGTTGTACACACACATACCTCTACAAACTGCTGGGGATCCACTGTGTTATTGTCATGCTGTTGTACCCCCTTTATGCACTGGAGCTGCTCTGAGGTCTCCCCTTCAGGAGCCTTCTCTTCCCCAGGCTGACCCAGCCCAGCTCTCTCAGCCTGGCTCCAGAGCAGAGCTGCTCCAGCCCTCGCAGCATCTCCATGGCCTCCTCTGGACTCACTCCGACAGCTCCACATCCCTCTGGTGCTGTTGCCCCAGAGCTGGATCAGGACTGCAGGGGGGGTCTCCCCAGAGCACAGCAGAAGGGGAGAGTCCCCTCCCTCGACCTGCTGCTGATGATGCAGCCCAGCACATGGGTGCCAAATTTCACATTTAGTGACGGAACATTTCCGTCTTCAAGGAAGGTAAAACAGGAGAAGAAGCCAGCAGGGTCTGGCTGTTATCTTTTCTGTGTCATTTCTGCCCTGTGAATGCTGAGGGTGATGGAGGTTTGCTCCATAGATCATTATCCCTCTATTTTCTGCTAGAAAGCATAGCTGCTTTTTCATGTTTGCTAGAATTAATCAGTCGGGGAGGAATTAATTTCCTTTTAATTACCTAACATATTTGGTCTCTAATTCATTCTCATATGATTCCTTCTCATTTAACAAAGTCTGTTAGCTGCCTTCAGACAGACATATAATCACTCACTGTGATTTTCACTGCTGCTCGCAGTGAACTTGTACGTGAATGCAGACCCACTCCCCTTGGGCTAAGTTTTAGACTGATGTTTCCAGCTGCAGGGAAGGTGCTTTAGAGGTTTACTGCATTTTGTCCTTACAGGTGTTGGAGGGAGCCTGGTTGCCATCCAGGCCAGCCGTATTTCCACATTCCTGCACTTCTGGAGCGAGCCTGGAGTTTTGCCATACAGGATGAAGCAGAATTGGCCCAACCCATGCACCATATTCTTCTCATCAGGTAGACCTTGAACCCTAGGTGTCCATGCCTCGAGGCCTGTCATCACAAATAGCTCCTTTATCAAGCCTGGTTGATGAAGGACTAGGTGGGTTTCAAAGGCAGAACTCCTTTTCCCCCTTACAGGGAAGATTCTCACATTGGAGAGGGAACATATTTGCAGTTGGAAAATGCTTGCACTACACTTGCTTGCTGGTGTGCAGAGAAATTGGCCTTTAGGGAGCACTAAGGAAAGCAATTGAAAAAGAATCTCAGATTTGATCTCGTAGAAAGTAATTTTAACCACGGCCAGCCATCGCCTGGATGGGAGGGATGAACAGAGCATAACCTTGCTGAAAACAAGCAGTGCCTCCATCCATCTTCACCAGGGGATAAACCAAAGCATCAGCACAAGTAGATTTGGGTCTGTTGGTTTTCTTAGATTGCAGGCTCCTCTCGATTTTCCCTGCCAGGTTGGAAGTTACTGCTCAAACACACTGAAAACTGGGAAAGTGGGTTACAGCAAGGCAGAGCGGAAGCAGTGGGAGGCAGAGAGCAGCTGGGTGTTGAGAAGTGAGTGGATCAGGATGGTGCACGTCTGTGGCACATAGCTTCAGTGACAGACAAAGCTGCTGGGCTCATACTGCAGGTGCTCCAGATTGCTGTGTGATCCAGAGAAGGCGTTAGCAATGTGGTTGGTGGGAGGGAACAGCCCCAAGTCTATGCATTAAAACAGGCAGCTGCTATCATCGCTGTTTCTGTCTCTGTCCTCTGCAGAAGTGAATTCCAAGTCGGCCCGAGTCCTGTTCTTCCTGGCTATCCCAGGGCACCTCGTGTTCCTCCACACTATCCGTCTGCTGCAAGGAGGCCACGTATCTCTGTCCTTCACCTTTGTGATGTTCTATCTGATGGCTGCTCTGCTGCAGGTAAACCCCAAACGCTCACTCAAAAGGAACCTCTCAGATATGGTGAAAACAAAGCAGTCTCCAGGCTAAACAGGACTCACTGTCAAACTTCCAACAGAAAACCCACATTTCCAACCATTTCAGGTGTGCTTCCTACCAAGCATCATGTGTCTTATGTGGGTCCAGTAATACTCCAGGGTCTGGTTTTCTGCATGAGCATGACTGTTCCTTTAGTGTGAGCAAGGGGTCAGACATGAGATGAGGAACAAGTTGTCATCATCCCCTGAGCTGCAGTAAGGGTCCAGAGGCTTACTCAGCAAGGAAGTTCCTCTTGCTGTAGGTGGTACTTTGTTTTACCGTGGTCACTCTCTAAGTCCCAAGTATTTCTAGATTGTCCCTGCTCATACATTAAGGGGCAAGAGAGAGGCTTTGAACCTCTCACCAGTAGCAATAACGTGTGTATTTTATGTTGTTTTAATGTTTTATTCACTGCTTTCCCAGTCATTTTGGAAACAGTTTCACACATCACAGTGAAGACCTTGGGGATCTCTCTGGCCAGGGCCGTATGGGTCAAAAGCAAAGGGAAAACCCAGGCCTGAGCAGCTTACCTTCAAAAGTAGAAGTCCTGAGCAGGCAAGGGGCAGTTCATCCACTGTGATCTGCCCATTCCCTCCTGCTCTTTGGCCTGCCCTATAAACTTCGTCACCTCACTCAGAAACGCATGTGGCTGTTGGGTGAACCCGCAGAGGCTCTGACTTCACTTGCCCTTTTACAGCAGGGATTCATTAGCTTGCAGGGTGAGGTAGGTGCCTCCTCGCTGTGCCTTACGAGCAGCCTCGTGTCTGTGGGTGAATTCCTTGTGCGTGTGAACAACCCGTTTTGCTTGACCTCTGCACAACACACAGCCGCAGTTGTCAAGGCAAATATTTATCCTTCTCTTTATGCATCGAGGTAACTCCTCCACCAGAGCCAAGCGTGAAAATACACAGGATAAGTGACAGGGGAAAGAGCAGAATCCCAGCAACGCCACTGACCCCGAAAGATTCCCATGGAGGAGAATAGGGCTAGCCTGGTTCTGTCTTCCCCTCCATTGTACTTTGTGAAGGAAGACAGAAAGAAGGAGAGGGGGGAAGTTTGGGTCAGCTGAAGGGAGCCCAAAGGGAAAGATTAGAGGCCTAGAAAACCCAGCCTCAGAGGAGCAATTGAATGGGCTGGGGTTAGCTAGTGTAAAGGAAACAGGCTTGAGAAAAATCTGGTTAACAGCCTTGAAACTCCCAAGTTTCTGTAGGGAGAGACACAATAACATTTTCTCAGTGGTCACCAGGGCTGAAACATGAAATCATGGGTTTTAAATGGGGAAAAAAAGGCAGATTTATGTTAGACCTTGGGGAAAAAAAAACAAGAATGGGAAAAAAAGCCTTGGGACTGATTGCTTAGAGTGTGGCATCTCCATCTCTGGGGCTTGTTTAGCATAGGTTAAACAAACGACCACCAGGAAAGATGTGGGCATATTGGATCCTGTATTGAGGCAGGGGAATGGTCAATATAACACTCCTGAGTTTCCATCCAGCTTTAGTTTCTGCGATTCTGTTATTCACCATCTCTCCTCCTCCCTTTCCCCCTTCCCAGTTTGCAGTTTTCACCTCTAGCAATGCTGCCTCTGGCTTTGGTCTCCCAGACCCCACAGATGTGGGGTGCAAACTCTCTCCCTTCCTAATTCAATTAACGAGACAGTCTTTAATCTTTAACCAAAGTATTTTGTTTGCCTCCATCTGTTTATCAGGATTGGGGATGAAATAGGAATTTAAAGAAATCCAACAGAGATTTAAAAACTGTTGAGATGAAAAATAAGTAATGGGTTTCTTTTTCTAAGTCAATGCTGCTTGGGATAACTTTGATGTAAAAACTGCCTCAAACTCCAGTTGTCCACTGAGACTTGTAGGAAAAGCAAAGTAGACACAATCTGAATTTCTAATGGAAAAAAAAGGATGAAAGGAAAAAAATCTGGCTAAAAACTCACCCTTTGGGGCTGCATATTCACAGCAGCCCTGTTTCTGGTGTTGTGAATGGAAGCACTCCCATTCATGGTGTGGGAAGTGGGAACTGTACCTTTAGGAGATGCTTTTGGTGTGGCCACACTCCTGTTTTGGGCCATGTGATGCTGGTGAGCGGTTCAGGTGTGGTCCCTGTGCTTGTGGCCGCTGTGGCACTATGAGTGATGCCAGGCAACGCAGTGCCCAAGGCTTTGAGCCAATTACCCCGTCCCAGTGCGGCTCCGTCCCAAAGAGAAACAGCAGTTGCCCAGGGAAGGTGTTAACTCTCAGTGAGCCCCGTTAGCTCTGGTACCTTGGCCATGGCCACCTCATTTTGTCTGTGAGCTGAGGGAGGCTGGCTGTTACCTTGCTGCCTGTCTTGCTTCTCCTTAGGTGGGAATCCTGCTGTACGTGGCTGAAGTCATTGTGCGCCTGATGTGGAGGAAGGCGCTGGATCCGGATAACTTCTCCATCCCCTACCTCACAGCCCTGGGGGATTTCCTGGGCACGGGACTCCTGGCTGTCTGTTTCCACCTGGTTCGGCTTGTCCACGGCTTGTAGATGAACCAAGGGCACTGAGAGACCAGTTTGGGCCCCCCCTGTCACCCCATCTCTCCTCCCCATTGTGCCTTACAGCTGGGCTCACCCCCCCTAAGGAAGCAGCACGCACAGACTTGTGCCCAAGCCCACTGCCCACGTGTCCACCCACCAGACAATAAAGACCATTGGACCATGTGTAATGAAGGAGCTTTGTGGTTGGTTTCAGTCCTAGCACGGACACAGCCCCTGAGGCTGCTCCGAAGCCTGCCAAGGGCACTGCATCTGATCCTGCAAGCGGATGTCGCAGCCTCTCCATCGGACTGACTTTCCACCAAGGGAAATACCGTATTCACCCTCCTTTCCTCTCCTGTCGCATCCCTGGAGGAGGAGAGGAACCAGTCTTGAAACTCCTCTCATCTCCATCACACGGATCCTGAGGATCTGATGCAGTGAGCTCCTTGCTGGCTCATGTCCAGCGGGATATTGCCTACCTCCTGTTGTCTGACTGACGAGCTGGATCGAGTGCATTTTGGGGATAGGAGGGTTTTTTTTTTACAGTGTATGAATTGTCCAGTAGTTTAAAATGGACACACGTGAATAAAGTGGTTAAAAAAAAGGGTAATGCTGTGGATTTGGGGGTTGGTTTTCCTTGCCATGGCTCTGCCTGTTCCTAGTTCAAACTTGACAGGTAGGACTTCCTGCTTGCTTGTTTCTTTCTCGTCCATTCAGGCTTGGACCACACAATTTTAACAGGGCTTCAGGAAAATCAGTGTTTCCTAACAAAGAGCAGCTTTCTGCAACTCACATCTTTCAGGTCGGAATTAAGGTCGGATGAGGCTTGGATATTCAGTATTCACTGGAATTGAAGAAGCAGTGGAGTCCTTCAGATGCCTAAGACTGAGGAGTTGAGGTTGTGGACCAACTGCCACTAGATCTCAACTTCTATAATCATCTACTTTGTATGTGTTGGAGGAGGGAAATGGGGAGGTCAGATCCCCATCCTGCTGCCTTGTCCAAGGACCAGCTCCTGAACAGGTATATTTGAGCTGTGTTGGGTACCTCCTGGCCTTGGGTGGTTCTCTGCTGCTTGAGCTGCTGCAATCTCCCAGAGCTGCTGCAAAGCCAAGTCCCCTGCATGGGATCAGTATGTGGCTGAAGGTCCCCAACTGCAAAAGGCTGCCAGGTGTGGGGGAAAGCACTGCCTGGAATAACATAAGGTAAGCCCCTCTTCCTTGTTTTGTTACAAAGGATGAATTACCCCACATGCCAGCTCCATGGTGGGGGAGATGTCAGCATTCAAGGCACATGTTCTCCCCATCTCAAGCTTCAGGGCTTTATCTCTGGCTGCAGCCCGTTGCTGTCAGCTCTGCTCTGACACTCATGTGTGATAATGACAGCAGCAACTGAGGGGGGGCCTGCAGGGAAAGCAAAGCTTTCTGATTGCCAGTCCCAGTTTGAGGGGGCTGCACGAGGAGATAGGTACATCTATATTACAAGAACTTGAGCTTAGGGTTTTATTTTGTAAACCTTTATTAGCTCTTTGGCACTGGCCTCAGCAGTTCTGGCAAATAACTCCTGCCCCAACATGGTCTTTTCTCCTCCTTGCTGCATGTCCCCACTGCCTTGGAGACTTCTCTGGACTATGATGCTTTTGCTGCTGGCATCGATCAGGTAAAGCTGGTCCTAAGGTGAGGATGCTGAGGACATCCCGGCCCTCTGCAGGGACCCAGGTATGTGAAATGGTTTCTTTTAATAGCATAGATTTGTGCTGTTAAATCCTCCCAAAGCCCCAGACTGGATTCTGTGGCTGGTGCAGACTACAAGCGACCCAGCCACCCTCCTCCAGCACCAATTCCTGATGCCCAGAACATGGGTGCTCCTCTGCCATGTGATTGCAACAAAGCCCTGGCACCGGTGCACCCCTTCACCAGGGCAGAGCTTGGTTTGTTCTGGCTGTCACTGTTGACATAGGACATGGATGGGAACACGTAATAGATGCCATCTGTGTCCTACTTGTGGGACCCAGCTGGGCTGGGGTGACCTGTGCTGCACCCTGCCCATGCTGGGCTTGGGGTTCCCCCATTGCAGGAGGTGTTGGGGCTACGAGCTGATGTGGGGAGATCACCAAGGGCCTGGCAAGATGTGCTGTTCTCCCGGGTACCCCTTGGTGAGCAGCCAAGCATCGGCCTCGGGCACTTAGTGCAGGGAGCACGCTTAAGACTGAAAATTGCTTCCAGCCTCCAAAGAAAAGATGTAAGCAAAGGAAATGGTTTCAATAAAAAGGGAATTTTATCCCTTTGCTGTTTCTAAGGGCAGTGAAAGGGTAATTATTTGGCTGTTCAGCCTGTTGACTCTTTCCTCCTTCCTTTCCCCGTGCAAATGAGAAAGAGTGTTTGCTAACAAAGGTTATACATAACCCTGGAGCATGCTGGGATCAGCATTCCTGTAACTCCATCGGGACCTGCTCCTCTGAGGAAGCACCCCCATCCCTCCCAGTGATTGTAAGCACTGCTCCTGCCCCTGGTACCAAGCACAGCCAGGCAAGAAGCCACTGCATTGTCCAGGCATCATCCCCTTTCCTTCCTCTGAAAAGCAGAGATTTGATGCTTAAATGCCTGCAGGATCCTCAGTTGGGGGTTGGAATTAGATGATCTTTAAGGTCTTTTCAAACCCAAGCCATTCTGTGGTTCAGAACATCACAGGAGTCCCTACCTGGTTTTATTGTGCCCTGTGGTGTTGTATTGGAGTGCTTTCCTGCCTTTTCCTTTACAAAACTCACAGGGCAGCGGAGCCCAGGCCGGGTATGGATGTTTCGCAGTGATTTCTGTCTTTCACCTAACACAGCAAGGAAGCCACTGTAGGCGGTGGGTATTGCTCCTGTGCTGCTGTGTCTGTGTCACTGCTGTGCCCAGCTCCTCACTGGGCTGTTGCCACCCCACTACCATCACCAGCACCCCACTTTGAGCTGACAGGGCTTTGTGTTTAATCCTCACAGCTCCCAAATAGGCAACATCCTTAAAAAGGAAGAGATGGGAGAAAGCTCCTTTTCTTGCTGCTCTTCAGTCCCCGGCTGCTGCCCTTCCTGTGTGGGCTCAGCACTTGCCCTGGGCTGAGAAACCCATCAAAGGCTATGGGATCCCAGTCAAAGGTTTACCTTGTTTTAATCTCTAGGGGCAATAAAGGTAGATGTGGAGTGTGAGAGCAGCAGAATGAGACTGGCTGGTTTTGTACAGAGCAGAAATAGAAAGAAAAGTGCTTTGTGCAGCTCATTCAGGCTGCAGGAGGAGGCAGGGAAACAATGGAGATGTATTTGTATCTATCTATCTGTCTATATATCTATATATCTATCTACCTCCCTCCCTCCCTTTGTTTTGGCTTCCCACTGGATCAGCAGAGCAGTTTAGGCTCACTCCTGAGATCAACCACTACTTGTCCTCCAATGAACTAAATCTCAGGTTCATGTCAGCGGATGGGACTGAGGAAGGGCATTGGAGTTTGGGGGGGGGGGGGAATGGGTGCCTGCCTTGCATCCCTTGTTTGGGTGCATCGGGGACAGAGGGGCTCCCTGTTCCTGGATACAGAAGGGTTTCTCTTTGCAAAGAAGGAGCTGTCAGTAGCCATAGAGAGAGATGGGAGCAGCTACCAGAGTAGCTGTTTTCAGGGCTACTCAAAGCATTCCTCTTTCTCCCCATCAGCTTCCGCTCACTGCCTCCATCCTAATGCAGTATTTTTCCAGAAACCACTCTCTGTGAGATGCAGCATCCTTCCCAAGGACAAGTGAAGTGCCAGCCAGCAAACACAAGCAAGCCTGAAAAGCCTCCTCCAAGCGAGACACCGCTTCCAAGACATACTTGAAAGCACTTACATACTTTTTTCCCTTCAATGGAAGTCTGTTTAATCCTCCAGCTGGTAAACAACCCAATCTGCAGTGCACAGCAAGCGCTGGAAGGAAAGCTCCCTATTGCTGAAGCTCAGTTTGGTTCCATTGGAAGGAGAAACTCAACAGCTTCCAACAGCTCCATAGCAGGATGGAACAGGCAAGGTGGGGAAGGTCCTCGCTCTTTTATGTTGGGGGGATATGTAGTAAACATGATGTTGTACACACAGTCATATGTAGACATACATAAACAAAATGGCTAGTAAATATTATAAATCCTAAGCAAATATATAATTACCCAATATATAATTATGTAAGTATAATCATAATGCTGTTTAATTATTCTTGTAATACATACTATAGACATATTAAATATAATGTATTCTCACCTATAAACATTTCAATTATTTGCAGTCATTCTATTATATATTAGAATTGTTATTTACATTGTATGTATGTGCACATATGGACATAGAATCAGAGAATCATGGAAGGTCTGTGTTGGAAGGGACCTTAAAGCTCATCCCATTCCAACCCCTGCCATGGGCAGGGGCTCCTTCCACTAAAGCAGCTTGCTTCAAGCCCCTGTGTCCAACCTGGCCTTAAACACTGCTTGGAACTGGATGAGCTTTAAGGTCCCTTCCAACCCAGCATCATGATTCTGTGATCCTGGAGGTGCATTTATACCCTTCATCCCTGGACCACAGCATTCCTCCTGGAAACTCCCTGCTCCCAGTGGGATGCTGTGCAGGGCCAAGAGGGTGATGTCCTGCTCCTTGCGTTTCATGTTCTTGCTGCACATCAGGCACTGTCACATTCCCAGCCCCAAATAGAGCAGCAAACCAATGCCAATTACACTCCAGAGGCTGCCTAGGTTACCTTGATGATTCCTCTTCCAGCAAAGAAAAGGGATGCAGTGAAACAGCTGAAAAAGCCACAAACAACTTAGGAGGCCCTCAGAGAAACGGTTCCCTGCACCCAAAGTGGGACAGGAAATGAAAATGCTTGCAGTTGGGGTCAGCAGTCACACGGTGTCCTCCTAACTCCGTTTTGCTCCAGCCCTGCAGCGTTTTTAGGTGCTTGGTGCTGGTCTCCGGTGGGGGGGGAGCGTTTTCAGACCCGGACTGAAGGTGATTGCTTCACAAAGCGAGCATTTTCTGTTTGCATGGGCAGGTTTTGCATTGGAAAGCAGTGTTTAGTCAGGGGGAAAGCCAAGGGTATGACCTAAATGGGTTGGATTGTGGCTGGTGGCTGGGGGTGTTTTAGAAAAGCCTAGAGGTGGGTATTTCTGAAGGTCCTACATGACCCAAAATGCCTGTTACAGATC